TTCGCCCTCCACCCTCCTCTGCGCCGACTACTGCCTTCTCCACAGCTCGCGGACGCTACCACTCTCCTGGGCTACGCTCCGCGCGTGGGTCTTCTCAATCTCGGTCTCCCTCTGAGGACTATTACCGCCGTTCCTCCAGTCCGCGCACACCTCGTCGTCCCTCTCCTTCCCGCTCGGCCCAACATTACCACGGTGGCTCGTCTGGTCCTTCCCTCCTCGGTCGTCCTCAGGTAGCCTGTCAGTTCTGCGACAAGCCCGGCCACACGGCCAAGGAGTGCTTTCGTCTTCAGGGCCGCCCACAGGTACATCATACGGCTGCTGGGTCCTCTTCTTCCTCGGGGTGGCTGGTTGATTCTGCGGCAACGAATCACATCACCCCTGATCTCGGCAGTTTATCACTCTACACCAACTACAATGGCCCCGATGAAGTGCTTATAGGCGATGGTTCAGGTCTGTGCATTACACATATAGGCGATTCTTCTTTGCCTACTGCTATGCTGCCCCTTTCTCTTCGTAATGTACTGTGTGTACCTGCCATTAAGCGGCGCTTGCTATCCGTTGCTCAGTTATGCAAAGCTAATCCGGTGTCTGTTGAATTTTTCTCTGACTCTTTTGTTGTGAAGGATCTGGCTACGGGGGCGCACCTGCTACGCGGCCTGAATAGGGGCGATGTCTATGAGCTTCCCGCACCGTCGCACTCTCTCCACCTTGCCATGCACGTTGCTGCCAAACCCTCTTCCACCGAATGGCACAAGCGTTTGGGTCATCCTCATCTCAAATTGCTCTCCCGTGTGTTGCGGAATCACTCTCTCCCAGTAACCTCTTTGTCATCCCACTCCTCATGTGAATCTTGCTCCCTGCATAAGAGTCATAAACTACCTTTTTCGGTTTCTAGCCTTTCTAGCTCCCGTCCGTTTGATTTACTCTATATGGATGTTTGGGGTCCTTCCCCCGTTGTTTCTCATGACAATTATTCTTATTATTTAGTCATTGTCGATCATTTTTCTCGATACACATGGCTTTATCCACTTTCTCGTAAATCTGATGTTCATCAAACTTTCACTACCTATAAATCGATGATTGAGAATTATTTTCATACTACCATTCGCCGTGTGTACAGTGATGGTGGGGGTGAGTTTCAAAAGCTTTGTTCCTTCTTCCAAACCCATGGCATCACTCATCTACTCACCCCACCACACACACCTCAACATAACGGTCTCGCCGAGCGTAAACACCGCCATATAGTAGAGACGGGTCTCACTCTTCTTCATACCGCCAATCTTCCCCTATCCCTTTGGTCCTATGCATTTCGCACCGCCGCGTACCTCATCAATCGCTTACCCTCTTCTTCCCTTCGCGGTGCTTCCCCTTATCATACATTGTTCAACGAACACCCAAACTATCTCAAACTTCGGGTGTTTGGTTGTATTTGTTATCCATGGCTCCGCCCGTACTCACCTCACAAACTTGCCCCTCGTTCCCGTCGCTGTTTTTTCATTGGATATTCCCTCAACCAAAGTGCCTATCTCTGCCTCGACCCTCTTACCGACCGTGTCTATGCTTCTCGTCATGTCCAATTTGATGAGAACCAGCTGCCTGGCCTTCCTATACCTCCCTCGGCTTCCACATATTCCCCACCCGATTGGGTCGCCCTCACCACTCCTCCCGTCCTTTCTTATCCCCTCCCTGTGACCGCCAACTCGCCCACTCCCTCCGTCCCTTCTCCCACTGCGCGGTCCTCTGCTTCTGGACATCCCCCTGCCGTGGCGTCCCCAACAGCCTCCTCCTCTCATGACAGTCAGCCGCCACCGCCTCCTGCTAAGCCTGTCCGCCGGCCCATTACACGTAGTCAGACTGGTATCTTTCGTCCCAAGAAATTATTTTCTGCTGAGCTCTCTACTTTTGATGTTACCCCTCGATCGGTAAAACAGGCCTTGGCGGATTCGCGCTGGACCTCGGCCATGTGGGCTGAGTTTAAGGCCCTCTTGGCCAATCATTCTTGGACTCTTGTCCCGCGGCCTCTGCATCAACATATTGTCGGGTGTCGCTGGATTTTCCGGATTAAATGGCGCCCCGACGGTTCTATCGAAAGGTTCAAGGCCCGTCTGGTTGCTCAGGGCTACACCCAGCGCCCCGGCATTGATTTCCATGAGACCTACAGTCCGGTTCTCAAACCGGTCACCATTCGCACCGTTTTCTCTATTGCTCTGTCTCACCAGTGGCCTATTTTGCAGTTTGATGTCAACAATGCCTTTTTACAAGGCTCTCTTCATGAAACTGTTTACATGAAGCAGCCCCCAGGTTTCCAGGACGCTGCTCACCCTGATTATGTGTGCCGTCTCACTCGCCCTATCTATGGCCTTCGTCAAGCCCCACGTTCCTGGTACACGGAGCTGTCTGGTTTTCTCGTGCAAGAGGGCTTTGTGAAGTCTAAGTGTGATGCTTCCCTATTTGTTTATCACAAGGGCTCGGTGACTCTTTATTTCTTGGTGTACGTCGATGATCTTCTCTTAACAGGAAATGATGCGAGCTCCTTGTCTCAGTTTCAAGCGCGGCTATCTGCTCGGTTTTCTCTGAAAAGTCTGGGACAGGTCGGCTATTTCCTTGGTGTTGAGGTCCTCCCCACAGCCGATGGTTTTCTTCTATCCCAGCACAAGTTTGTCCACGATGTTCTTGCCAAATTTGGGCTGTCTGACTCGCGCCCAGCGCCCACTCCTCTCGCCTCCACCGCGAAGCTTACTCTCCTTGATGGATCCCCGCCGGCCGATCCGACTCTGTACAAGCAGGCCTTAGGCTCTCTTCAGTATCTGCTCATCACGCGTCCCGACGTTGCCTTCGCCGTCAACAAACTATCACAGTTTATGCATGCTTCTACTCAGCTTCATTGGCAGCATGTGAAACGGCTGTTTCGTTATCTCAAGGGTACCTCTGATTATGGTCTACGGCTGACTTCTACATCTTCTCCAACAATCACTGCTTTCGCCGATTCGGACTGGGCTGGTGACCCCGATGACCGCACCTCCACCATGGCGTATCTTGTGTACTACGGCAACAATCTTATCTCGTGGAAATCGAAGAAGCAACGCTCTGTTGCGCGCTCCAGCACGGAGGCCGAGTATAGAGCGCTAGCCCATGCCACGTCCGAAATTCTTTGGATTCGCAACTTACTCAGTGAACTGCATCAGCCGCTTCAGTCCAACCCCACCCTCCACTGCGACAATCTCGGGGCTGTGCACTTCTCTGCCAATCCAATCCACCACTCACGTATGCGACATCTTGCTCTTGACTACCTATTTGTTCGTGATCTTGATCAATCCCAGGAACTCAGCGTTCGGCATATACCCACTGTCAATCAGCTTGCGGACGCCCTGACGAAGCCCCTACCCATTGCCCGGTTTCAGCTACTTCGGTCCAAGATTGGTGTCGTCCCGATCACCATCTTGCGGGGGCGTGATAAGGGCTGTGCTTAGCTCCACTTTCTGTAATTATTTTTATTGTTATTATTAGCTGTTAGCAACGTCATTAGTGGGTTAGTGGTTCCTTCATTGTAGCTACAATCAGTTCCAGAGATTGGTACTTAAAGCCATTCTCCTAGTCTATGTAAAATACAACTTCAATCCTCTACACACACTTCGCCGGTAAAATCCCGCCGGTAGACTCTCTCCGGTCACCTGCGCAAATATACTATTGCACTTATATGCTATACCATTGTACTGGTATTTGTACCACTACATTGATACTCAGATATGACATTGGTACCAATGCACTGATATCGCTACCAGTGCAGTGGTATAGCTACCAGTGTAGTGGTACAACATATCAGTGCAGTGGTATATTTTTTATAGGTGGTCGGAGGGAGTCTGTCGATGAGATTTTCACCGGAGAAGTGTGGCGGTCGGAGGTTGCTGAAAAAGGAAAAATTAGATATAGGAAGAGAGAATGTATTTAGTGTAGGTTTTAATTTAAAAAAAAAACAAATAATTAATATGGTGCATTTAATTCACAATGTGTATTTAATGTGTGTATTAAATTCTATAGTTCTATTTACCCAGGGAGTGTCATTTTTCCAACCCTAAGGGGGTAGCATGCTAACCGACCCCATCTCTCCTGATTCCCTCTGAATTCCATAAACAAAACCCCAATTCTCTCCATCTCTGCCGATTCCCTCTGGATTCCATAAACAAAATCCCACTGTGAGATTTGCGTTGCTCAGCCACAGGCCCACAGCCCTTCTCCACTCCTCAGCCGCCGTCAACTTTATAGAGAACCCTATAAAGCTATTTCCGATTCCGGAGCCTGCCCCATCTAATCAGCATCGCGCGGCGGCTCTACCTCCTCCTCGATTCCAGATCCGGCGACATACAATCTCCCTCCCACGGCGGCTTGTATGGATGACGATGGAGAGACAAAAGGCTCGGAAGAAGGAAGGAAGACAATGCTTGCCAGTCAATGTACCTTCAAACCAAAATACCCAGAGACACAATGAGGATGTCACATGCCCTATTAAGGGCATCCTAGTACACTTTGATCGGGCTATAAAGACCAACCAAGGAAGTTTCACGTGTTTCATAGGCATATCAAGTGATGGATTAATATTATCTGCTTTCATTCAATTCTGTGATCGTATCTCAAATGACTTTGTTGGAGAGTTACTTGCTTTACGAGATGATTGAAATTGTGTCTAATACATAATTTTTTGGTTGTTACATTTTGTGACCACCCACAGTTGGCCACCATACATGCTATGTCCAAGGAAGCATCTCACTCCATATGTAGGGCTATCTTGTAGGAAATCCGTCTTCTTTTTTCATCATTTGAGTCCGCAGCGTCTCATTTTTCTTCTCAAAAGTTTAATATAGTTTTCATGTTGTGGCAAAACTACCACTTTCATTGATAGTTCGATTGCTTACCGGGCTGTCACGTGTGGTCGGAGTCAATCTAGTGATTTGATTTGCAGATCTTGGGGGGAAAACAACTCGAGTATACTAATTTTATTATATCATGGGTTTAATGTATTTGTCAAGTTCATTGATTAATCAACAATTCTTTAAGACTTTGGAATATGGATATAGTTCAATTTCAATAAATCTATTGGGAAGCCGATTTTGTAATTGTTACCCGAAATGAAACTCAATGTGATATGTTACGGTGCCACCAAAGCAACATTGGTCAGTTCATTACAAAAGAACACACCCAAACCCAAGAAGCAATAGACCAAAACACACTCATGCACCAATCTCCACTTGGTTTCTACTGAACAAGTACAAGGACCAATTGCACAAAATACATGAGAAAGTCAGAGAATTCAGCCACTGCAGGTTTCGCTTCTCTTCGCGCAAGGGTCTGCCTACCAACCTGGTTGGTTCTCAAGCACTCAACAAATGTTTTGAACTCTTACATTCTTACTTCTTCTTGTCGCTCAAGGAGTCGAATTGCCACCTTTCTCGCGATTAATGGAAGCTGACAGGATCGCAAGATCGTGATTCAAGAATGTCAATGCCGACTCGCACTCTGATATGATGTTTGTGACTGAAGACGGTTCACCCGCCACAGTTTCTGACGAACCAACAGCGAGTGCTGCGTATGAATCCCTCAGGTTCCTCAGGTTGCCCAGGAACTGCCAACACATAATAATGTGTGAAGTTTGAGTAGTGTAAAATTCTATTTGTCCGAACAGACTAGAGGAGGCTTCCCAAATCAACCAAAATTGCCACCAACCAGGTAGGGGTGGGAATCCGCTTTTGGGGTTTTCTGATTAACCTGGATTCCAACTTTCACGGTCGCAGTTTCACCTCCCACCCCCACAAGCCGGTTTTGGTTGACTGCCTATCAGGTTTTCTTAACAGAAATCAATGGATGGCAAGGGCCAGTTCATGATATTACCTTCAGAAGCATCTTGTATGCCTCCAACAACCGGTTAGCAGCTGGCCCAAATCCATGGAGCTGAGGCACTTCCATCATATGTGTCCATGGGCGAATCTCCTACAGAAAACAGAACCATAACTAGAAGATCACCCAAAGATATTTTATGCAGAAGATTGATGTAACATTGTCTCTCGCAGTAAATCCAGACCTTTGTATAGATCGTGTTGAATGATCTTGCAGTTTCTAAGAAGGACTCTAAGTGCTGCCGAAGTTGGGATTCCACCTGTGTATACTCTTCACCTGGATTGTAAGCATGCTAAAAGAGAACAATACCGTTTGTAAACAAGTCTTCAAGGATGTGAGGGATAAAATGAATGAAGTTGCGAGTGAATAAATCAGAGAAAATAGAGTTATCAACTACCGCAAGAAATATGGGAAAACAAAAGTTCCATTCACCAAAATTAATGTTATAATAAATGTCTTGGCAACCAGAGTTATCAACTACCGCAAGATGGCCCAACATATCTTGGGATGCTTAATGACCTTGCATCTTAAAGATAGACTGTATGGAAAAGATACCGAGGAGCTGGGATTAACCTTTGATGCCAAATCATCAACTTTCTGCTGAAGATTTAGGAGAATTTTCGATTGCTCCGAAAGCTTACTCTCCAGCTCTGATACATCAGGCCTGCACATGTACTTTCAAAAGATGAAGCTAATGTTACCGCATCTCATGAAATGGAAGCAGTTCATTACTCAACTAATTTATGCAAATGATGATCTCAATGGGATTCGAGCGTAAATCAGGCAACAGTATTGAAATAGATGTTAGGGTCCTACAAGGAACGGCTGAATGCTTCTACATCTATGGAAGTCTTTAAGCACATAGCCAGAAATCAAAATTTGTTCATGGTTTTGAACATAAAAAAGTGCAAGACTGGCGAGATTCTCCAGAGACTTGAAAATTAATAAGATATTTGAAGTGCCTTACTATGGTTTCAAGATGAGGTATCGTGTGATGCAGATAGCTGGATACAACAGAAAATGGAGCAGAGAAAGCTATGCGTACAGTGGATATATGGATTGAATCTGGACATCTGCAGGGAACAACTTGCACTCCTCTGAGAATATGAGAGCTTGTTTCTCTGCAATGGAATCTATTAGTTGTATATCCTTTGCTACCTGTTCATCAATGCTGCATAGCCATGAAAGTCAAGTTACAGAGGGAAACATAACAAGATAAAGAAAAGCAACTAATGCATATTTCAAGAGGATGGATGCGATGAAGAAAAGAAATAAACTTTACCTCCACTCTGGATTATCAGCATAAATGCTAGCCTCAACAAGATCCACTATTAGACGTAGCATTTCAGTTCGATCTTCATAGCTTCCTCGTCCCTGAAAGAATTCACCTCAAACTGCTGTTATTTAAGGGAAGGGCCAACCTTAAGTATACCCATGATAAGTTGATTCTAGGTACAGTATATTTCGCAAGTTGCAACAGATGCATACATATACATTGCATCTATTCTGCAACTTACTTGGATGGTTTCAGTATCTATAGTTGGCATGATTCCCAGGAACTTGGCTATCTCTGCCAGATCTGAGTACAATGGGTAAATAACTCACTGATTACTACCACGCAAAATTATTCCAAGGAAACAAAGTCTAGAATTGACACAGAAATCCAGAGAGAAGAAAATAGAAGGCATTGATGGGCAATTTTAAAAACCACAGAATACAAGAAACAAAATTCAACGACGATACAGCTTCTCAGGAAGCATGAGCAGTCACTGTTTATTCTCTGTGACCCACGTATCCGAGAAATTATAAACGAAATGATTTCTGAGCAAGCCGCTCGATAGTGTACAGAATAAATTAGTAGTTAAATGTGAATTGTGCTTAGGAATGTGAAGAACCCCTAACATTCTCCAGCTTTGAAGGTTGGACATGAACATGATGCTGAGAAAGTAGGCAAAGCAAAGTGGGGCTGGAAGAACAATACTAACACTGTATTCTAGAAGTTTCTTCATCCCGATCCATGGCATCCCCTTGGAGATTTTGTTGAGAGAAGGGTGATTTGTCACCCAACAATCTGCACATCCAAAGTATCCCAACTTCATTGTTAATTGGCACTACCAAGTCATCTATCTATGAAAGCTCTGACTGAAAACCAAAAATGTGATCCTTAGTGGCTCTCTGTAATTGAGAAATCAACAAACGAACAAGCTAAAAACTTCAAATTTGATTTGGATGTCCAACAATGCAGGAGGAACAAACAGGCCTGGGAGCCAAAGCTTTCCACAGTTGATCATCCTTGTTGTACCCCCACAATTCACTTGAGTTAGCACTATCAGAAAACCAAATTCTCAAATCTAAGGCCTTCCTAGGAGCAAAACAAGAGAGAGAGATTGAGATTGACAAGTCCTTCCTGAAATCATTGCTTCGTCAAAGGTTCGAACTTGAATGGATAAACTAACACGGAATTGGGGGAATTGAAGTCCGATCCTAGTACATAATCAAACAGATAGTGAAGTGATTGAGGGTTGGGAGAAAAATACTTGAAGAAAAGCCATTCGAGGAGAGCATAGCGCTCCATGCCCGCGAAGAGGAGAGACTGAGCAGGAGCGTCGGCTCGCGGATAATTGAGAACGGCTAGCTTCTTCTGTATCTCTTCCATTTGCTTCGACGCCATTCTTGCTCTCCCCGGGAATCAAAATCACACCAGTTTTTGACCGTTGTGACGGTTGGTATAGGAGTTCGCCTTCTTGAATCTATAGATCGCTGAGAAGTCAGAGCACTGAACAGTTCTGGATCTTTTCAGTGCGCCGGCGTTTCCCTCCCTCCCCACCTAATTCTTCTCCATCGGCTTTTTTCCCCCTTTGGAAAAGTACAATTCAGCACACAAATATTTCAACATTTATCAATTGAGACCCTTAACTTTCACTTGATTTGATAAGTTATTAAGTTGTGATAGAAAAAAAAAGTCTCCACTCCTGACTCCACTACCTTTAGTTCGGTGACTGTGACGTCATCAGGTTCGAGGGGCTTTTACTTTCGTTTCTTCCCATTCTCCTTTCTTGTCCTCCCAACTTTCTTTTCAACCACAGTCATACAGTTGCGAAGGAATTATAGTCTCGCGGTTCGCCGGCGGTCTCCAGCTCGCTCCATCACGAATCGCACCAATTCCCCTCGCCGTTGTTCCTCTGCATCTCTAATCAATTCTGGAATTGGATCACATGGAGTTCTCTGGGCGAATCGGGTAAAGAAAGAGGAATCGACAAAAGAATTAGGGAAATGGCGGAACCAAACAAAGATATTCCTGTGACTGAAGTGTTTTGGGCGCTGGTTGAAAAAGCTGATAAGAAGTTCTCCAAGATCAGAGACTTGCCTTACCACGAGCGCAGCAGGTATTCTCCTTTCTCGTTTCTTCCCCGTTCCCTCGTTTCGTTATGCCAGCTTCCCCCAATTGTGCTTGTGTTCTGTGATGAGAGGAAATTTTCGAATTGTTCGTCGAGCTTGAGGTTTTCTCCGTAATTCAAATTGGCTCTCCAAAAACTTGCGGTGAATATGGTTTTGCTTAGGCCAATCCGTACAGCGGTCAAGTAGTTGATAATTAATGATATTCAGAGGTGTTGTACTGATTTTTGAACTGGTTGAGCTGCGTGTTACTAGTATTTAGTAGAATAGCTACTAACAGTTGACGCTGGTCCTGTTTGTAGGTATGAATACTTCTTCAAGGTATTCAAGGTGTACACACAGTTGTGGAAGTTTCAGCAAGAGAATCGGCAGAAGTTGGTAGAATCTGGTCTCAAGAGATGGGAGATTGGCGAGATTGCATCTCGCATCGCTCAGCTCTATTATGGACAGTATATGCGGACGAGTGATGCAAGTTACTTGACCGAATCGTATGTATTCTATGATGCAATACTTACGAGGGAGTATTTCAAGGAAGGCTTGTTGCAGGATCTCAATCTTGCGAACAAGCAGCTGAGGTTTCTTGCTAGGTTTCTGATGGTGTGTTTGGTGCTTAACCGTCGAGATGTCGTTCATCAGCTGGTTAATCAGCTCAAAGTTTTAGTTGATGAGTGCCGAAGGACATATCAGGTCTTTACTCTTTCTTATCTTCTTTCTGAACATCCGTTTGATTTGTTCTTATATATCTGTTTGCTGATTGTTGATTATGGTTCCTATGTATCTGTGTTTGGTGCCGTATAATTTGTTTACTTATCCTGCTGTTCTTACCTGGCAAGGTACAGACATGGGAAATAGGAGAGGAAAAAATCTTGAATGCACATTAGAAGATGTATTAGTTACTGAGTTTAACTTGGGTGATTGGTTAGGGAAAAGAGCTTTTGGTTCACACGCACTTATATAGGGTTCATTTTTTTTAGGCCAGTACAAGCATCTTGCTCTCGTTCAATGCTGATAGCTCACTAATAAGATATACATGCAGAATAATAACATTTTTAATTCTTCTCAAGTTTATGGTCATATTGCCCTTTGATTTCTGTTTTTGTTTTTCATTACATTGAATTACTTTTGTATAACTGTGGTTTGATTCAGTACTGGGTAATGACAATTAAATGATGCATGAATTATCTTGTTTCCAGGAAACTGACTTTAAAGAATGGAAGCTGGTGGTTCAGGAAATAATTAGATTTTTGAAAGCTGACACAACATTTATGAATATCAGGCCATTGAGGTACAGCCTTGTGCTGGACCCTAATCCAGATTCACTACCATGTGCTAAGACAAAGAGACACTTGAGATTACGAGATGCAGTTCTGAGCAGCTACCATCATAATGAGGTTACGTAATAAGGTTTCCGTTCGCCACTGTCTTTTACTGTAAATTGAACTAGAGAATCTGCCCTCTGCTTATGGAGTTCTCTTTTATTTTCTATACTGTAATGACATATATTCATAAATAAAATGACCAGGTCAAGTTTTCCGAGCTTACTCTGGACACGTTTAGGATGCTTCAGTGCCTGGAGTGGGAACCAAGTGGTGCATTTTACAAAACACATAACCCTAAACTTGGCCAAAATGGAGTTCCAGGCCCTAGTCGAGTTAACTATGCCCAGGATATATCTGATCCTACTTTACCTCCCAACCCACGGAAAGTTGTGCTATATCGTCCTTCCATGACTCATTTGTTAGCAGTAAGTGTGACTTACTATCTTGATATTTGATTTTATTACCTGGTTGGACTTGTTGAATCATTTCCCAGTCCATAAGTATGCATTTATTAACTGTATTGTTTACACAGTGGTTTTTGGTGATTATTTATAAGTTTAATTTCTTGATATGTATTGATATAGGTATGGAAGTTGTGCATGTATGCTTGTGTATGAACTGGAACTACATTCTTACCTAGCTTTGCTGATCATAAATCTTCATGTTTGGCATTTATGTACTTGTGTTAAGATTTTGGGTTTTGGTGGTCATCTGAAAGATATTACACACTTAATGTTGCTCCTTGCCGCTGTCCTAAACTAAGACATGTGGGCATTATATTTCTTTCGGGGATCTTAAAGTTTGACAAAAATATTGACCTAAAGTATAGATAATTCTATGAACCTTAGCTTCAAATCTAAGGCTTAACCTTCCACTATCAAAATTTAAAAATTCGTCATCCGAAGTTCATTCCGAAATGAGTAGCCTATTGGCGAGGTTCAAGTGATTAATGTAAGGTGGATTCCCTAGCGAGGCTTTTGCCTTATGTCTCTCAATTTATGTATAGTCTCGTTATATCTGCACAGGTTCTTGGTACTCTATGCGAGGAGCTAAACCCTGATGGAGTTCTTCTAATCTATTTGTCAGCTTCAGGTATCTTATTTAAATTATTTTGGTGGTGAAGAGACCTTTCCATTCATGTCCATGTCTACAGTACACTACATGGCTGGTTTACCTCTTTTATCTCTTACATGTCCAGGAAGAATCGGAAATACCATTTCATCTACTACAGAATCTCGAGCTTCTATAAACAGTGTAGGAAGCTTGGGAAAGAGCTTGCAATCTCACGGCATAGATTCAGATGCCGCATCTGTGTCGTCTTCAGACTGCCTGAATAATAATGCTAGTCCAACTTCTAGGAGGAGTAAAAAGGATTGTTTGAATTTTGGTACTCATACTAATGGAGGTATCTTCCGTGCTCTCTGATTCTTCGAGCTAGCTAGTCTGGATTCTTGTCCCCTTCAATTTGACTAGTTTGTTCTTGTTCATAGTACACATTTTCTTACATTTTCTTATGGTCGATTATAGGCGTAAGCATGTGATCTGTGGTTGATGGGTGACGGATATACAGATATGCTACTTTTATGTATTTTTCTTCTTTTTTGTTTGGATATTGATATCCTTATGAATGTTTTATGATAAGTAAATTGGCTGTAAATGTAATCAAGGCAGTGTCTTGCATCCATGCGTCAGTGGGTTTGACCTTGATGTCCATTGCTGTTAAGGTTTTTTCTTTTATATTGTTATCTTATTGTGATTAACCTTTTCACCAGGGCAAAACAATGTATACCCTTCTGACTTGATTCCATTCACAAGGCGACCACTTTTTATCATTGTTGACAGTGATGGCAGTGACGCATTTAAGGTAAGTGTGTGTATCTCAAATGTGCAATCACAATTTGTAATCTTCGGTCAAGTTTGGGTTTATGCATGTTGTTGTAATCTGTGCATTCAGTGGCAAAAAGATTTACCATTTGACTGACGGTTAGATAATCTGTGGAACTGTCTATCTTTCCGAGTTCCAGATAATGAAATGATGTCTTCCCATATCAATGTTATGCCATTTATATAAAATGTGAAAAATGATATTTTACTGATTTTTCTTTACATCAGGCTATAAATGGTGGTGAAAAAGGAGAGCCCGCTGCAGTATTTCTATCCCCAAGTAGTTCAATTCTAAGCACTTCAACTGATACTTCTCGTCGTGAAAGTGGGAGTCTGTTCACCATTTTCCTCACAGCTCCACTGCAAGGCTTCTGTTTGTTACTTGGTTTATCTGGCCCCGATATTGAAATGGTAAAATTAGCTTTGGACATTGCTCTCTTCTTGTTGTAGTTTGTAGGGAATAATGCTGAACAAGGTGCTTGTTTGCAGGATACATTCAACCGGGCTGAGAAGTTGCTGTCTTCATCATTAAATGACTGGGGAGCTTCTTTAGTGATGTCAGAACCTCTTGACCCTGTTTGGGCACAGGTGCTTGGCGATCCATTCCTTAGGCGACTTGTTTTGAGGTATGGTTATATTCTGGTTAGGTTTCTTGGCCTTTCGGCTTCTGCAATCTGTAGGTGAAAACTATGCAGGTTGTAGCAATGAATATGCAAGTTTCAGCAAAGAATAACAAACATATAACTTCTATGACCCTCATTTGATTTGTCTCCACAGCATATCTTCATTCTTCAACATGTACATCAGACTGAAATCGATCCATTATTACTGGAATGAATTGATTGAATTCCATGTTTAGTGAAATGCTGATGTAAGCTCTCGCCGCGGCCTTCCAAATACCATGATTCTAGTTTAACTGACTGCTTCCCCTTGTGGCAGATTTTTGTTTTGCCGCGCTGCTTTAACGCTCTATGGAACATCGTTTGGCAAGAAGGAGCTTCATCCCGAATGCTTGCCTTCTCTTCCACCCGCATTCCTTCCCACTGCCGTCCAACCTCAGACTTTGATCTTGCAGTTGGCCAACGTCTTCGGTGCATCAAAGAAGTTCGTCTTCTCTGAGAGCATTATGCTTCACGAATACAAATCCATCGAATGACAGTTCATTCTGATTCGAGCTCTTAGCTGGAAAACTGTAACATCGTGAACCTTGTCTGTGTGTGTTTCTGTGTGGATTGATTGATCATTGTTCATCTGATTGTACCCTTCAGTTTATCATTCTGTGTAAATGCTAAAGGTTTGGAGTTCGCTGGACCCAAAAAAAGGCCCATTAACTGCTCAGCTGAAAACATGAACTTCACACAAGCCCATTACTATCGCGAAATGTTTTTCAGTTTTCACCCACACCTCCATTCTGTGGGCCATTTATCCATTCTCGTCAGATGGGGTTAGCGATTTTTCAGGGCTCACGCGCGGAGGAGTCGCGTCGTGGTGGATAAATCATTTTCTACACCGTTGGATGGAGGGGGTGTGATTTTCCTTTTGTCGGTATTTGATCAACGGTGGTACGCTTACGTGTATTGTAAAATCTGTTGCAGGCGATTATGGCTTTTTGTGAAACGGGGTGAGGCAGCGCCCAAACAGAAACAGGACCCGAATCGTTTCGTTTGTTTTTGTGTTGCGTTGTCTTGTCTGAAGGGAAACTCAATTGTTTGCAAATCCCCAGGAGGAGAGCCTCTCTCTCTAAGGTCGCGAAGGCGGAAACCGGCCGGCGGGTAGCTGCGGCGACGGTGCCGACTCTCTTTCTCCACCAGGTTACCGTTTTCTCTCTCTCTTAGTCTCCTCCTTACCCTCTTCTTCCCCCCGCACTCTCTACTGGCTCTCTACCGTCTTCCCCCCCAGTTCTGCTGTTTCCTTCTTCTTCTTCCTCGAGAAGTTTTACCCTTCTCCATGCTTGGTTTGTTCTGTCAATAAGTAGCTCTGCCGGATTGAAAATGAGTATTCTGAGTTTAGCTGCTTCAATCTATATCTTTTGACTAATTCTTTACTAGGTTTTATTGCCAAAGAGTAGGAGGAACTATGAAAAAATTATCTCTTCATGCTAGATTGTGTTTATGGATAGCTGTTTTTACAGCCCAGTAATACTTCGAACTGCTTGTCACTGTGTTGGTTTTCTTTGTTGGGCTGCGGCTGTTAACCTAAGAATTTTGGAAGTACTAGTCTATCGATTGATGCTTTAGATAACTTGACATCCGTATGACTTCTTGTTCGCTGCTAAATAGTGGGGATTCTACTGTAGTCTGGACTTCCTTTCTGCTAAAATGTTGATTTTGCGGTGTTTCTCAGCTGTGCTACTGGGGGCTCTGGGGAAGTCGGAATAGGAGAGCTGTGTAGGGTTTTGTTGCTCTTGCTTTTCATAGCCAATGATGATTAGGAAATCTGAGAGACACCGTTTGATGTCAACCCCCATGTTGCTGAATGTTTATGGATTTATTACTAGGTCATTTACGGGGGTAATGATGGGGTGTGATGCTGGAATGTTTGAGAATGAGCAGATAATGTTTTGAGAACATTAGGTGGTTTGTTAATATGCATAGTAAATATGTGTACACTGTGTAGCGCAGTTCGCATGTCTTGATGTCGACTTAATCCTCCCCGTCTCTCTGTTTCTTTTTCTCTGGCTGCCCCTTCTAGATCTCTGTCTGGTGGTGTGATTTAGCAAGGCGCAATGTGAGGAAAAGTATCTGAATTCACTTGTATTATGAGCTTAGTTCTCCAGTTGTTTAAGTTAACTCTCTGTCTGCTTTGTCTTTTCGAAAGAAAAAGTACTTAAAATAAACGCAATGCTGATTCTGCAGGAGTCGCTTCATGCGTTTATACAAGCTCGGATAATAGCAGGATGAGCGGTGACGTGTTTGATGGACAGGTACTATCGGACAAGTTAGCAAAGCTGAACAGTTCTCAACAAAGCATTGAGTGTATCCTTATTCAGTCTCGTGATCTTTGATAACTATAGCTTTCCTATAATGTTAAGTTTGTTCACTTTAAATCTCAATTGGAAAACATAGCTTTCTTCTTAGTATTTAATTTTCATAAATAAATATTGAAATTGGAGATTAGTTGTTTGGTTCCAAATATTTGATTGTGGACTTTTCTCCAAGTATTAGTTGTTCCATAAATTTTATTATGCAAGAATCTAACGTGGAGTCATTAATGCTAAATATGTCTGGATATTAAAATTGCAGTCCAATCTACGATTGATACAGTTATGACCTTTTTATGGCTGTTTTTGTTTTAGTCTTCACTACAAAAGTGACTTCTTTTCTAGTTGTAGTAAAATTGAAGAAAAGTGTATTTGTGGGTATGTATGGGTTTAGAAAAAGTTAAGCTGATGGGATGGGATGTTTTTTTTGGGTACTAATAAAGTAAGTAGTGTGATGTTAATGGTTTCCTTGTAATAAAACTTCCAAAACATAGTTTGTTGGATGAGACAAGAACGAATATCTATGGTAAAAAAACAAAAAATAATGAATACATTTTCATAAATGTCTAATTTGGATATAACTTTAAGAAAAGTTTTTCTTATTTCGATGAGGTGAAGTAGGAAGTATGTATTACAGTTTAGTTGACTACTAGACTTCGACAATTTGTAGTATAGGGTGAATAGTTATTTGAAAAAGTGTGTTTGTTTGAGCTATGGAGTAAACTTTTCTTTAGCTAAAAATAATACCCGGTACGCCTCTTTTAGCTCTAGACACTAACACTAACTGATGTTTTGCATTTTATTACATGGGCCATAAGTTGGATGCTCAAGTGCTTCTTTTCATATTTGTTTCCCGCATAACAGAGGATGTTGGGTACTTCACTGCTTCACCTTGGGATTTTAGGGTTCTCCCCTCTGATTTGTAGTTTGTTTTATCCAATCACCCATATGCAGACCTACCCGCGTAATGTTTTCGTATGCATGATAACAAATCAATTTGACATAGTCCGGCAGAGCACAGCCCCTACTCTGTTGTTGGGCTTCTGCCGCAGGAGGGATGTGAAAATCTTGACGGGATTAGTCTAGTAGAAGAATATTATTATTTTCGATGCTCAAGTCATGGGAAAGCAGCATGGCCTAGCCTTATCTCTAAAATACTATACCCTTTTCACAGTAATATGTTACTTTAACTGTTAGATTAGCATTGTCACGCTGGTGTGTATCACATCGGAAAAAGGCAAGACAGGTTGTTGAAACATGGAATCAGTACTTTACCTCGTCACAGAGAGAGCAGCGTGTCACATTCCTATACTTGGCAAATGACATCTTGCAAAACAGTAAGCGCAAGGGCAGTGAATTTGTTAATGAGTTCTGGAAAGTTCTTCCTAAAGAACTCAAAGTTGTCTATGAAAGTGGAGATGAGCATGCAAAGAAAGTAGTAGCCAGATTGGTGAGTATTATTGGTTGGGCTTTGCTTCTTTTGTGGCCATTTCTTTCACTTTGCTGAATGACCAGTAATTGATTAATTTCTTCACCTTGTCTATGATTCGTTTGTGTATGTCGCTATGGTTGCTTGTGTCCTATATGTTGATGGTGGTGGGTTGTGGAGTTGGGATAATCAATATGCCCGAGGGTATATGTCTTTTTGTATTTTGATCGCTTTCATTTGTTTGCTCAACTAGTTCAGAGCTTAAAGTATGATATTCTGTTAGAATCCAATGGCTAACGAAAGTATCTCTGTGTTTCTGTATATTGGGCTGTTTGGATATCTGCATTGCTTTCTGTTGTGAACCTCCTCTCTACTTTTATCTAACTTATTTACTTCAGTGTGCTCTGTGGTGCCAATGCTATGAGTCTGAATACGTTTTTTTTTTTTTTTTTTGTAAATGCTGTGTCTTATTGTTATTCTTTCTGCCTACCAGATGAAGGTTGAGTTGTAAAATGGAAGTTCTTCATCTAACGTGTCTTTGTGAAATTTGATTGTACATCCATGTGATTCATAAACAATATGAAATTTGTAATAAATTATGTGTCCTATTCTTATAATTTTATTTTTTGCATCTTTGAAATCCTATTTATGTTTTGCTCTCTTTTGTTTCAGGTCAACATTTGGGAAGAAAGGAAGGTGTTTGGTTCGCGCGCCCAAAATCTGAAGGATGAAATGCTTGGTAAAGTTCCTCTTCCTCCAGTAGTGAGCAATGGAAAGAGCTCGAACCAGATCTCAAACCCTATCAAGATAGTGAAAAGGGATGCCAGCTCGTTAAGAATTGTAAGCATTTTCCCAGTCCTTTATCAAGTGTTAACAATTGTGTAAATTGTTACTGTTGCCTATATAAATCTTGTTGAAATTGTGTGGTTGGATATTCATCTTTTTGGGTATTTTGAAATCAGAAACTGATGGTGGGATGTACACCGGAGAAGATATTGACTGCATTTCAATCTGTTCTTGATGAAAATCAAACTGAGGAAGCTGCACTGGATAAGAGTAGTACTACTGTATCTCATTTGGGTAAAATCAGAGAAGACGTAGAAAGTACATTAATTGCAGGTAGGCATTCCCCTTCAGATTCTTTGATAATAAGATTCTACAGGTTCATGTGTGTAGTGTTTGCTTGGTTTAACTCGTCACTGTACACAAGTAGTTAAGTTTATTTGAATGATGTCTCAAGGAGTATGATCATGATATCACAGTGATGTTGCTACAAAGAATAATGCCATGCAATAGTATCTTTCTAGCTATTTACTGATTGGCTAATAATTATACTTCCAGAAGGTACATTTTTTTTGAACTATTTGTTCGAGTTTAAACTGAAGAATTTGCATCCTTCCCATTTGGGAAGTTGTTTGGGCTTAGTTAGGGTAGATCACTTGTTATACTTACCTCCTCCATAAGCTACAAGTTTGTTTCAGGGGTTGTACATATATTATATGAGGTATCAATGAATTAAAACAATAATTGAATTGAAGACATTAGATGTCAGTATTGATTAGTATCTTTATTTTATTTTAATGGAACTATGCTTTGATAGTGTTTTCTGATTAGTTGCTGTGTTCTAATCTTATGTCCGCGCTGATGGCTCATTGGTAGAATTATCCTTTTTAAGGATATGAGGAAATTGTCAACATTCATTTTCTCATTGTGGTATCTACGCTGGAAAATTGCAGTGGCTTTAGAATTTTGTGAAGCTTTGTTAAACCTCCAAGTGCCTTGGCCCTTGGTGAACTGGGAATTATTGTTTCTGTTAATTTTTCACTTGACGAAAATAAGCTATTACTGCCTCCTAGAACTGTTTACATTTACTCACTGCATTATCTTCAGGAAAATAATTTACTAAGTTTGCTCATATTGAACCTTTGTCCATTCACGGTTTCTTAGGAAATCAGCCTGGTTCCGCGTTGATGGATGAGTTACAGATGCAGGAAAATGTCCTTCAGCAGTGTGCTGGCCAGCTTGAAACTGCTGAAAATTTACATTCGACTTTGATTTCACAGCTTAAAGAAGCACTTAAAGAACAAGTAAGTCTGTAAGAATTTTTCAATTTTAAGTCTTCATCAATGTTTTGATATGAATTTCATTCTAAGTTACCTTGCACATTTCAGGAGTCGAAGTTTGACATCGTTCATTCTCAGTTGCAAGTAAGAATTCCTGTACTTCTCCGTTAAATTAAGGTCACTAACATAGTCCCCTCATTCTTGTTTCAATGTCTACCTGTACATGGTAAACACTGGATATTGAGAGTACTATTTTTTTATCTTTATACTCTCTTTCACCCCACAATTTAATCTTGGATAACAAGGTTTCCATCTGTTTAGTCTTTTTTTATTCTCAACCTCCCAAGTCTTTGAAATTTGAATTATCCCATTAGCGGCTACCTATTTAGTTTTGACTCTTGCCTGTTTAGACAGCATCTGAATGTTATGTTCGCCTGGCCATTATGGTTTCTGTTGGTAGAAGCGTTTAGTTAGTTTCTTTTAGTGATTGGCTGACGCAATGTTCATTCCCAAAATCATTTTCACGTCCATCCATAGAGATCAGGACTATATAAGTTGAGACTCCACTTCTGTATTGTTAGCTATAGTAAGAAAGAAAAACCCTAGAGTGATCCCTGAAAATTGTATCCCTCCATGGATGGATGCGAAACAAGAAGAACAGCGTCAGGAGTCTAGGAACAGACGGCTAGACTTCTAGGAACAAACAAGAAGAGGGTCAGTAGTCTCTGCCATTGCAGGTTAATTAGCATTATCTGCTCTTCTTGGCATTCGCATCCAAAATAATGACTCATGTCATCAAAGAGCTTGATATTTATTATTTATTATTTTAGAGCTATGTTTGAGGTAATCTATACATGACTTGACATGGTGCGTTGACAGCTGATATGCGTCTAGAATGCAGTAGAATTTGTTTAAACTTAAGCTTGGTAGTGTAAAGTAACAGCTGGTAGAGAAAGCTACTGCCATAATGAGGATAGAGAACTTTCACGAGGTCTTGCTATAGCTTCTAGTACAAGTTTTGAGATGATCTCGTTAATTTATTTTTGGACCTTGGTTAAAACAAAACGGGCATACAACTAGCTTTTAGTTCAAACAGATAATTTACTCTGATAAGTTCTTCGTCTGTGCTGGTCAGTCATGAAAGTCATTTTTTCCATCCTTTATCTACATACTGAAGTGCAAATTGGTCATAATAACAACTAATATACTTGGCACTCATCTTCCCCCCGGATCAATAAAAGTTGGTAAAATGACAATCAGACATTATGGTGGATGGATTTCAAACAACCCACATGCGGGAGAAGGTTTTCCATATCTGTGGGGCTGTATTGATGCCATCAAACCCAGCATCACCCAAACAGCCCCTCTATGTTCACTGTCCACCGATTTCAATATAATATACCAATGACATTCTTGCCCTGCTGCTACTTTGTGGCACTCTTCTGTATAGTAATGGTTGAGGCTGATATGCTTTTCTTTACAGGTTGTGAGAGGTCACATCGAACAATCTAGCAATTTAAGGAAGAGGTTAGCAACTGTATTTGTACCCGGCCCATCAGCTACAACCACCACCTCAGCATCAGATGGAACAAGAGGAGTTGAACTCATTTCTTCTTCACCAGGACGGCCAACAACAACAACAAGCACCCCGCCTCCATCTCAGCCTACTCCAGTCTCACAGTCTGCATCAGCAGTTTCCTTTGCTGCGCCTCTCCAACCTCCTCCTGCTGCTGATGAAGAAAGCAAGAAAGCAGCTGCCGCAGCTGTTGCTGCTAAACTCTCCGCCTCCTCATCATCAGCACAAATGCTAACATCCGTCCTCTCGTCCCTTGTTGCTGAAGAATTAAATGGTTCCTTCAAGTCAGCAGGATTTGCTGATGTTTTCCCCCCAGAGAAACGGCCTAGATTAGAGCAACGGACATCTGAGACCGATTCAAACAACAATATGGCGGCCTTTTTCTCCTCTGTGGCTTCAACCAACCAGATACAAGCGGCTTCATTTGGCTCTTTGCAGCCACCATTCCCACCTCCTCCGCCTCCAATGTCCCAAACTAGCACACCAGCAAACCAATACATGCAGCAGCCTGGTGGTATGATGGCTGCTAGCATGATGCCACCTTATGGGTATGGAGCTAGTGGCAACTTTCCTCCTCCACCCACTATGCCGCCTCCAAATTTTGAGTTAAGCAACTTGGCGTGGCAGCCTACCTCACTGCAGCAATTGCAGCCTCTGGAGCCGCCACAGCAACAACAACAACAACAGCAACAACAGCAGCAGCAGACACCAGCAACAAGTGGAGGATACTATAGGCCACCGGGGATAGGGGGCTTCTATGGTCAAATGCACCAGGCAACTACACCTCCAGTACCTAGACAGTAAGCTTATTGAAAAGGCTCGTTAGAGAGACCGACAGAAGTGAGGAAAGCCTCTGCAAGGCCATTTAGCACCAGGAGATAGTAACTTGACCATATTCTGTGTATAAATATCGTTTAAAGTAATAGGACCCACTTTAATGTCCACCTTTAGCAGAATTTGTAGTGGGTGGTAGGGGTCGTTGATGGTGGGATTGTGCAAATTTTCCCACATAGATGTAACTGGCTTGATTCAACTTTCTGTTCTTGTACCATAACTGTTAGATGCTGTGTCTGGTGAACGCTTCCTCCCCTGTTTAGCTTTACAAATATTCAGTAGCTGCTTAGTTACAAGGGTGGATGGATGGGCAAATGTGTTTGTTTTGTGTTTTATATTGGCCCAGGGGGAATAGAAACATATCCAAGCATGTTTTGTTTGCTCGGTGTTTTTGGTTTTGAGGGTTTCCCTTGAGTCATGGACTGCTAATGGCATAAGTCGAGCTGGGTACTAAGTATGTAATCTATTCTCTTCTGCAAGGGATTGCATGCCATGTTTGGTAATTTGGTTTGGGAGAGCAATTGAGCTTGGTGGGTGCATTTCATTCACTAAAGTAGGGAAGGAGATGACATGATTATTGAAAATCTAAAGAGTTAATTGTTCATTGAAAATGTAATTTTGCAGCAAGGCAGATGACATGATTATTGAGGGGTTAATTGCAAGGATGGTCACTGGGTTTATTAAAACCGTTCATGTTTGGTCACTGCAAATATTTAACTCCATTCATAGTCACTAAGATTAGTTCAATAGTTCAAGTTTGGTCACTCTCTGTTAGTTTTTGCTGATGTGGCAGTCAACTATTATAGTTGACCGTTAAATGAGTGACGTGGCCATTAAAAAATAATAAAATTTAAATATTTACAATTTCCACCTCATTTTACAACTATTAAAAAATAAAAATAAAACTTACCTCCGCCATCTACGTGACCGTGGCCATGACGCGATCGTCTCCGCCGCCATCCCATTATGCAGCAGCATAGCGGACATCCTTATTGCCTGTGCTTTGTCAAAAACATAGAAACATGAGGAATTTAGATTTCACTCACACTCTGTATTATGATTCTTATTCCATAGCTATGGAGTACTAAAACTCACCCCTTTTCGGTCGATGAAGTCTGCAGTTCTGCCGCTGGTTACAGCTCCAAGCATGGCTCCAATTGTCAGTATCGAGCTGAACATGGAGTACTGAAGCAGGGGAGATGGAAACAGAGTGTTTCAGTGTCTGAGTATGATGAGCAAGAGAAAGAAGAAAACTGGAGGGGAAGGAAAGGTGCATTACCTTAGGCAAAGACAGGTTGAGATCTTCACTAATTGCAGACTGAACAGGTGCAGAGTAACCAACCTGTCAAAATAATAGCTTAAGCTAAACAAACCTTTCCTTTTACCTTCTTTCCCCACCCTTTTGCATATAATTTTTTCCTGAGGGGAATTTCATTTTCGTTCCTATCCCAGACGAAACACAGACACACAAAAACCCACTTAGTAAAAACCATTGATTCAAAGAAAGAAAAAAACCCTGGCCCCCCTACTTCTCTGATTCCTAAAACTGCCTCTTTCTCACACACAGTAAAGATCCAAAACTTTCTTTCCAACCATGTGAGCAAGTGAATCAGTTGGGAGGTGTACCCTTACACAAGAGCCAAACTCGAAAGAGCCACAAACCACGACAGCAGTGCTGAGAAGCACCATTCCTATCGACCCATTGCTGCTGTCTTCTTCATTTCCATCTGTTTCTTCCCCACTGCTACAGCTCACAACTTTGCCATTCATCAATGGCTCCTCCAAGTCCTCCACCAAGTACTTCCTCCAGCGGCGGAGACGATCGCGTCATGGCCACGGTGATGTAGATGGCGGAGGTAACTTTTATTTTTATTTTTTAATAGTTGTAAAATGAGGTGGAAATTGTAAATATTTAAATTTTATTATTTTTTTAATGGTCACGTCACTCATTTAACGGTCAACTATAATAGTTGACAGCCACATCAGCAAAAACTAACGGAGAGTGACCAAACTTGAACTATTGAACTAATCTTAGTGACCATGAATGAAATTAAATATTTACAGTGACCAAACATGAACGGTTTTAGTAAACCCAGTGACCATCGTTGCAATTAACCCGATTATTGAGATTAAGATTTAAACAGAGAAGAAAATTACATAATACTCTCTTCTCGACCTTTGTTCGTTCTCTGTTCTTCTTTACAAGACTCCCTCCTAAAACTAGAGAAATAAACAATGTACAAGGTAGCTTTATATACAGTTGGTACCTCTCGTATTGTTTGCCGTCTCACAATATACTACACTCACATTATTTAGATTCCTCTGAACAGATATGAAAGACTGGACGAGTGCTACATGTTATTTTATGGGGACGAACTACGCATGTTATTGTGCTTTCTTGAAAAAATGTTCTTTAGCATTTTTTCTGGCATTCGTCCACACAACAATTTGTTTTCGGATGAAAGTTGAGAGTAGAATCTATATCCCAAATTCTTAGCAGGAGGTCCATTATTTCTTCCTTTCCATTCTTCACCACTTCAGAGTCCATATAACAGATGACTTTGGCTCGGGGAATCATAAAGACTTTTCACGACTTAAGTACCACTAGATCATTTGCCTTGGCAATGATTATTTCTGCAACTGCCTTAAGAAATTTGAATCTTAAGACCTTTTCCATCGTGTATTGTTTTTTATTCTCGTCATATTTTGTTTGGAACTCGAGGGTTGTTTGGATTTGTGGTAATGATTTTCTCAGTTCCAATAAGAAAGAGTTCCCATATTTGATAGGGGCGAAAACTTGTCCATCGTCGGCTCGTCGCCCTTTTCTTGATTTGTGGTGAAGTAATTTTGTCCCTGTTGTTTTTCACGACTTCTGCTAATCCAACATCAATGAAACTTTTTCCTTCCATCACCATGTTATGCATTATCTCATCTTAAATATGGATGAAACTCAGAATTTTGTTAGGACACTCATTCTGCCAAGGCTAGTTTCTCCTCTGAAAGGGGCTAGCCATTTCTGACTTGAATATCACTTTTGATGTTATTCAACAATTTCATTTTTTTCATCGAAGAAACTCAGCAAATTATGTTTATTGCGAAAGATAAAAAAGAGAAAATAAAGGTATGAAAAAAGTGATAGTTTAGTTAAGGCGACATACGAAGTCATGTGGACCCTTGTGGTACTAGTATGTTGTCCTTCCACTGCTTAGAGTGGGAGGTTATCGTTGCTCTGTGAAACCAGTCTCACGCAATCCCCTCCGCTTTAGGAGAGAGAGTCTCGTCCACCTTTGTTGATGAAACTCAGGTCAACTCCATGCTTGGAATGGGCAAACTAGCATTAAGCCACAACAAATCCGATCTCACAAATCTGCCAATATTCTATCACCTTGTTGCCCTCACTTGAGTTACAAGCCTTCGTTACCAGGCTCGGCAATTGTCTCACTTTTCTTTTCAAATATCAAGAGGTTTACTTTCTAATAAATAAAAAATGTGGTAATAAAAATAGTTTTTTTTTAGCATGATATAAACATAGACATTTTATCATCGTCAATTAGATGTAAGTTATAGATAGTAAACAAAATGAATTATACTCGCACCAAAAATTTCAAAAGTTTTGTCATCTCTGTTATTTTCCCTGAAACAATTTCTGCTAGGAAGCCATTGATACATCTTGAAGACTAAGAGGCACTAAAATTGCTTATCCCGTTGGATATTTTTTTAATATCTTTTCTTTAGTCTCATAAGTTCATTTTCTTTCTTTGTGATATTTTCATTTTAATGTAATCTTATATATGGTTTATCTATTGTTCCTAGAATAATTTTTTAAATTTTCGTATATCGTCCTCCGGTGAGAATGAGAATTGTAAAGAGATCTATCGTCACATGTTTATCTAATTCTTCCAAAATCTTATTAATTTCCTATTCACCTCATTCAATAAATCTTGAAAATTCATAAATTTTATTCCACCTATTGGTTTGTTGATTGATACATATTTTTTGAGAATTTTTTAAACAACGTAAGCATACTTTTAGTTTATGTCTTATTGGCTACCTGTTTTGTTCTTAAATTGAGGTTTCACGAAGGTTTTTATGTGGGTGTTCTGGTTGGGATCATGTATGTCACCATTGGTTCCGTTATGTACCTCATGTGACATCTCTCTTAGGTTAACAAAGTTGCCAACTCCCTTCTATCAAATTTATTGATGATAATAGACGTCATTACTAGGAGAGGGTGGGATCATGAGTGTTTCTCGTTCTGTGTTTCTGTGTATGTTTGTGGGATTGTGGCAAACAATGCAAGTTCATTTTCGAGTGCATGCATTGTACATCAAGGATGCCTTAAAGATCCTCTGCAAATGATTTTGTTGGTATGTGACACCCCATTCACATGACTTTCAATTCATCTTATACAATATGTTTTCTAATATATTTGACTTCAAACTTCAAAGAATTTTCTATGCTCCGAGAAAGTGAATAATCATAACTATAGTAACAGTGTCGAGATTGTTCAGGTCATTGTCCAATGCTCTCTATAATTTGTTATATTTCTCGACATTATGTAAGGAGATATATGATGTGAAGAATGCAAATCGATGGAGGATTGAACTTGTTTAGTGATCATGTTACTAGTTATGGAAATGTGATATTTGATTCATGTGTACTGCTAAAGATAATTAACAGAAAATAAAGGTATGAACAAAGTGATAGTTTAGTTAAGGTGACATACAAAGTCACGTGGACCCTTGTGGTACTAGTATGTTATCCTTCCACTGCTTACAGTGGGAGAGTATCGTTGCACTGTGCACTGTTTGGCATGATATAAACACAGACATTTTATCATAGTCATTTGTTTGTAAGTTATGCATAGTAAACACAATAAATTTTTTTCGCGCCACAATTTCAAAAGTTATACCATGTATGTTATTTTCTCTTAATCAATATATGTAAGGGACCCATTGATATACCTTGAAGACTAAGATCCACTCATATTTCTTATCTTGTTCGACATTTTTTATATATTTTCTTTAATCTCATATGTTCATTTTCTTCCTTTGCAATTTTTTCATTTTAATGTAATCCTATATATTGTTTATCTATTGTTCTTAGTACAATTTTCAAAATTTACTTTATCGTTCTTCGGTGAATATGAGAATTGGAAAGAGATTTACCGTCAAAGAATTATCTACCTCTTCCAAAATCTTATTAATTTGCTCCTTACTCCTTAAATAAATCTTGAAAATTCATGAATGTTTTGCCACCTATTGGTTTGTTGATCAATACATATTTTTGAGAATTTTTTAAACAATGTAAGCTTATTTAGGGCTTATGGGCTACCTATTTTGTTCAAAAATTGAGGTTTCGCGAAGGTTTTTATGTGGGTGTTGTGGTTGGGATCATCTATGTCAGTATTGGTTCCATTATCTACCTCCAGTGGCATCTCACTTAGCCTAACAAAGTTTCCAACTCCCTTCTAACACATTTATTGATCATAATAGATGTCATTACTGGGTAGAGGGTGGGATAATAGGTGTTTTCGGTTCCGTATTTCTGTGTGTTTGTGGGAGTGTGGCAAACAAGTTCATTTTCGAGTGCATGCATGATACATCAAGGATTCCTTAAGGATTATTTGCAAATGTTTTTGTTGGTATGTGACACAATAGTCACATGAATTTTTCGCTTCATCTTATACAATATGTTTTCTAATATATTAGAATTCAAACTTCACAGCATTTTCTATGCTCCAAGAATGTGAATAATTATAACTATAGAAAGTGTTGAGATTGTTCAGAATAATTCTCCAATGCTCACTCTAATTTGTTATATTCCTTCACCATCATGTAAGGAGATATATGATGGGAAACTTGCAAATCGATGGAGGATTGAACTTGTTTAGTGATCACATTACTAGTTCTGGAAATGTGATATTTGATTCATGTGTATTCCTGAAGATAATTAAGAGAAAATAAAGGTATGAACAAAAGTGATAGTTTAGTTAAGGCGACATATGAAGTCACAAGGACCCTTGTGGTACTAGTATGTTGTCCTTCCACTGCTTAGAGTGGGAGGTTATCGTTGCTCTGTGAAACCAGTCTCACGCAATCCCCTCCACTTTAGGAGAGAGAGTCTCATCCACCTTCGTTGATGAAACTCTAGTCAACTCCATGCTTGGAATGGGCAAACTAGCATTCAGCCACAACAGATCCGACCCCACAAATCTTCCAATATTCTATCACCTTGTTGCCCTCACTTGAGTTACAGGCCTTCGTTACCAGGCTCGGCGATTGTCTCACTTTTCTTTTCAAATATCAAGAGCTTTACTTACTAATAAATAAACGATGTGGTAAGAAAAAATTGTTAGTTTCGCATGATATAAATATAGACATAATTATTTGGATGTAAGTTATACATAGCAAACACAATAAATTATACTCTCACCAAACATTTCAAAATTTATGTCATCTCTATTATCTTCCCTTAATCAATTTATGTAAGGAAGCTATTGATACATCTTGAATACTAGAAGGCAATCGAATTTCTTATCAAGTTCAACATTTTTATATCTTATCTTTCGTCTCATACATTCGTTTTCTTCCTTTGCGATATTTTCATTTTAATGTAATCCTATATGTGGTTTATTTATTGTTTAGAGCATAATTTTTCCAAATTTTGTTTTTCATTCTCTAATGAGAATGAGAATTGGAAAGAGATCTATCGTTAAAGTTTTATCTACTTATTCCAAAATCTTATTAATGTCCTCCTTGCTTTACTCAATGAATCTTGAAAATTCTTTAAAACAATTCCACCTATTAGTTTGTTGATCAATACATATTTTTGAGCATTTTTTAAATAACATAAGGATACTTTTAATTTATGTCGGGCTACCTATTTTGTTCTTAAATTATGGTTTCAAGGAAGTTTTACGTGGGTGTTGTGGTTGGGATCATCTATATCACTATTAGTTCCATTATCTACCTCTAGTGGCATCTCACTTAGCCTAACAAAGGTTTCAACTCCCTTCTAACACATTTATTGATCATAATGGACGTCATTACTGGGTAGAGGGTGGGATAATAGGTGTTTCCGGTTCCGTATTTCTGTGTGTTTGTGGGAGTGTGGCAAACAAGTTCATTTTCGAGTGCATGTATGGAACATCAAGGATGTCTTAAGGATAATTTGCAAATGTTTTTGTTAGTATGTGAAAGTATAGTCACATGAATTTTCATTTCATCTTATACAATATCTTTTCTAATATATTGAAATTCAAACTTCACAACGTTTTCTATGCTCCAAGAATGTGAATAATTATAACTATAGAAATAGTGTTGAGATTGTTCAGAATCATTGTCCAATGCTCACTCTAATTTGTTATATTCCCTCACCATCATGTGAGGAGATATATGATGTGAAACTTGGAAATCGATGGATGATTGAACTTGTTTAGTGATCACGTTACTAGCTCTGAAAATGTGATATTTGATTCATGTGTATTGTTGAAGATAATTAAGAGAAAATAAATGTATGAGTAAAAGTGATAGTTTAGTTAAGGCGATATACGAAGTCACGTGGACCATTGTGGTACTAGTATGTTCTCCTTCCACTGCTTAGAGTGGGAGGTTATCGTTGCTCTGTGAAACCAGTCTCACGCAATCCCCTCCACTTTAGGAGAGAGAGTCTCGTCCACCTTCGTTGATGAAACTCTAATCAACTCCATGCTTGGAATGGGCAAACTAGCATTTAGCCACAATAGATCCGACCTCACAAATCTGCCAATATTCTATCACCTTGTTGCCCTCACTTGAGTTACAGGCCTTCATTACCAGGCTCGGCGATTGTCTCACTTTTCTTTTCAAATATCAAGAGCTTTACTTTCTAATAAATGAACGATGTGGTAAGAAAAAATAGTTTGTTTCGCATGATATAGATATAAACATATTTATTTGGATATAAGTTATACATAGCAAACACAATAAATTATACTCTCACCAAACATTTCAAAATTTATGACATCTCTATTATCATCCCTTCGTCAATTCAGACAATCAACCCGTACCAGATGTCAAATTTGTCCAATAGTTTTAAAAAATAGACCATAAATATCTTATTTAAAAAATGTGGTCAGAACTGAACTGTGACTTACGCTAAACTTGAGGTGAAACTAGTGTATCAACCAAATAAAATATTACCACTTACTCCTAAATAAAAAGTGTTCCCACGTGTCACGAAAACAGACATGCAATCCTCAACATATTTGAGGTTTTGCTCGACTGGTAGGGGATAGAGCTGTGAAAATCTTTGGGTTGGCGCACAACAAGAAAGAATTCCCCGGAGACAGACCAACCCCAAAACCAAGCAAGGAACAAAAGAAAAGCACACAGGCAAACAGAGAGATAGCCGTCATGGCCATGGCTTTCTCTCTCAGGGTCAGAAATACACCCACTTCGAAACCTCACCCTCCTCCTCCTTCTTCTTCTTCTTCTTCTTCTTCTTCTTCTTCTTCTTCTTCTTCTACTACTACTAGCATTCCTCGCACAGCCGTCATTCTCCCCGTAAATACAAACACTCACATTGCCTTCCTACATGCCACTATATATACTTTGTGGAGGAACACTCTGGGCTGATTGGCTGCTGGATGATGTTGCTTGCTTGATTGCAGGGTTTGGGGAACAACTCGGCTGACTATGCATCTCTGCAATTGACGCTGCAGGGAGAGTATGGAGTGCCCACGGTGGTGGCCAAGGTGAGCAGAGTTGATTGGCTCAGAAATGCCGCTGGTCTTTTGGACCCTAGTTACTGGAGTGGCACTCTCAAGCCTCGCCCTGTTCTTGATTGGTATTCCCTTCCCCCGTTTCTTCTCCTTGGATTACTTTCCTCTTTCTGGCTAATTTTTCTTGTGTACCAGGAGGGGTTTTCCCTTTGAATGATTGGGTGTCAGATTGACGATTTTGGATGACCATGTAAAACTGGGTGGTTGTTTTGTTTCTTTGTTAGGTATTTGAAGAGGGTGGATGATGCTGTCCAAGAGGCTAAGGCCATTGCTCAAGGTGGTTAACGTTACATCTAATAAAGTTGTGTTCTTTATCATTGAATTGAATCCATGAAGAGTTTCCCATTTCCAGCTAGGAGGGTTCGTTGGGGTTTTTTGTTTATCAACCTCAACTACACAAACTGGTGGCATTCCAGACCAGTTAAATCTGTTTTCGTTGCTTCGTGCAACTTTCCATAATCTATCATCTCTGAACTTTTGACAGAAAGAACAGAAATGGGTTCTTCACTTTTGCAGGCGACGAGACTCTGTCGTTGATCGGTCACTCAGCAGGCGGGTGGCTTGCTCGTGTCTACATGGAAGAGTTTGGGGTGTCTGATATCTCCCTCTTGTTAACTCTTGGTACTCCACACTTGTAAGTCTTGTGTTTGTTTTACATTTGGACTGTGTTCATCAACGAAGGAAATGCAGCTAGCTGTAGAATGTGACGATCGATTAAGAGATGCGAGTTTCCTTCTCTGACTGCATCGTCGCTGCTTGGTGTTCTTTTTGCAGGCCTCCTCCAAAGGGCATTCCTGGGGTGATTGATCAAACAAGGGGTCTTCTTTACTACGTCGAAGAGCATTGCCGCAAAGCTGTCTTCACTCCACAGCTTAAATACGTATGTGTAGCTGGGAGGTAAAAGCTATCTTCACTCTAGTAACATGATGGGGTGCATTCAAATTTACGGAGAGTTGGCTGAGATCTGGTTTTCATGTCATCCGGCGAAACTTATGCAGGTATATTAAAGGCACAAAACTAGTTGGGAACACAGAGGAGCAGCAAGTTGGTCCAGTTGTCCCTGTGACTGATGAGGTCCTTGCAGCGGACGTTGTCAACTCCACCACGAATCCAACATTCCGAGCACGATTCGTAGGACAGGGCTATAAACAGGTACAAACAGCTTTGTTGGAAAGTGATGTCCTCAACTCTTATATCTAATACTACATTATACTTGGGCGAGATAGTTAATAACAGTGTCTGTGTGTGTGGTTTTCAGGTGTGTGGGAGAGCAGACGTGTGGGGAGATGGAGTGGTGCCTGAGGAATCAGCCCATTTGGAGGGTGCGCTCAACATTACCTTGGACGGAGTTTACCACTCGCCAATTGGCTCATCCGACGACTCCCAGCGCCCTTGGTATGGCTCTCCTGGCATCATCGAACAGTGGGTTCACCATCTCCTCCACTAAACAGGAGGTTGAATTAGAATCTTCTGTCCAAATGGTCAGCTATCGAAAATTGTACCAATAAAAATTGTTCTGCCCAGTCTTCCTTGCAGTTCAGGGAGGTTAGGGTTAGGGTTCCAAGTTGTACCATTGCTAATAGTGAAGTACTAATACAACCTTTTTCTTCCGGTCTTTCGTGGCGGCCAATGGCGCCTAAACCACAGTTCTGAATGTTGTTAGTTCCCATTAGAGAGCTGAGATGAACACATCATGGTACAACATTTCACTAACCACATTTCTCATTGCCATACTTCTGAGCTTGGAGATCATCTGCCATGATTTTGCTCAAGATGACAATGAAAACGGGGAAAAGAAACAACTAATCTATATTCTGCAAACATCATGGCATCAAAAGGGTGAGCTATTGAAGAGGATAGGACTATGGGATATGAAAGGAGCTGTTGTTTAACCATTGTTGAAGAGGCAAATGCTTTCTTCCCCTAGCTACTTTATACATAGTCAAGATCAGGACTAGTTCACTTGCAACAAAAAGGTGTCCACAGTTTGGGGACTCAAACAAAACCACAAATATCGACAAGAAAAACAACATTCCAGGGAGGATTCACGATGAGAATTTTACTAAGAGCTTGCTTCAAAAGAGATCCCCAACTGCCACAAAACACCATTGTTTCTTTCTCCAGCTAACCAGACTTGTTGAAATGAGGCGACAGCAACTTTGCAATCTCCAGCATCCCAACTTTCTCCTTCTGGGCAAATATTGTCTTAAGCTTGTCATCGCAGATAATCTCTTTCTTGTTTGCAGGGTTCTGCAAAAAAGAAGACATCCAAAGTATTTCATAGGACATGAGACTCAACGTAACCTAACCTATTTGTCTAAATAGGAACCTATCTGGAAGAAGCATAAAAATAAGTAAAACAATAGAATTGGAGCAATTCAAAGTAATGTACCCTTGGAACAAGTTTCCCAAGAGTTCAAACACAGTCGAGAGAAGAAATCTAGTGATATCATGATAACCCGTGTTTCAGTTGGCTGTCATTTACCAGAGCATCAAGTACAAAAATTCCTTGAGCCAACAAAAAAGAGCACAGAACCATTCTTCCGATTAAGCTTCTATCTATTAGCTAAGAGCACGGCATGATGTGCACCAACCCAAAAACCAGTAAATGGTAACTTTATCAGGTAATCAAGGATGGACTTAGTGACCCATTAAGACAAACTGGAACTAGAAACAGTCAGCATTGCCGAAAGGTCCATAGTCCGCAGTCTACAGGACAACAGGGTAAAGAGAGACCAGCAGAGAAATGTGAAGAAACCCAAACCCCAAAAGCTAAAATGCACCGTGTTCGATGTCCTGGGGAAACCTCACACTTCGAAATCACCAGCAAACGGAACCCATTTGAACAAGAAACCAAACAAGCAGGGGGTTCCGTTAGTTCCCCCAAAACATATAACCCTAGGGTTTATGAAACATGGGCGACCAAGTAAAACAAGCAACAAAAACACCATTGAACAACACCGGAGACCACAACCATGCTTTCAGGAACCCTAACATGCATTCTAACGCAGAAATAGAGGGATGATCGGGCAAAAATGAAAAGGGAACCTGGAGCTGATGTTCCTTGATGTGTGCCCAGATCTTTTTAACAGCCTCGGTGCGAGAAGCCTCGGGAACCCCAAGGAAGCTGCACAGCTCCGGGGAGACTGCAACTTGCTTCAGTATGCCGCTAGCTTTCTTGGGCGCGTCCGGCTTGGGCTTCGGTGCTGCCTTTGCTTTCTTGGCTGGCTTTGCCGGGATTGAAGCAGCGGCGGCGGACTTGGAGGGGGCCAGGAGAGGCCGGCAGGTTTTGAAAACCCTAGCTGCTGCTGCGAAAGACATGACTGTCAGCTTCGGGGGTTGAGAGCGGGAAACGAGAGTGTGGCGGCCGAGGGAGACAAAAGAGGACTCCTCTGCTCTTTCTCAGCGGCGTGGACTGAAAAGGGAAAAGGGACTTGAGGGGCGAAGTGGAAAGTAATACAATGGGAAAAGCAGTGAGAGAAAACTTCTGAAAACGTCATACGCAATGCGTTTCGGTAATAGCTTCGAGTTTACCTTTTCACCTTCGGACCCGGAAAGAGTTAATGGTTAAGGGGTTAAAGACACATTTGGTCACTGAGATTACAAAATCAGGACATGTTTAGTCACTAGAAAAAATTAATATCAAAGTTGGTCACTACAATTACTAAAATTGGACATATTTAGTCACTCGCCGTTAGTCTCCGTCCAACTCCGTTAATGAAGTCCGTTAAGTGATGATGTGGCAAACAGAATTGCCTAATCAGCCGGATATAACCCAATAAAAATAAAACCCGACCCGCCACGTCATTATAACCCGCCATGTCATTAAAACCAACCCAACCCATGACCCAACCCCACCCAACCCTTCTTCCTCCTTCCTCTCACCTCCTTCTTTCCCCAAAACCACCGTCGCTGCCGCTCTCCTCCTTCCTCCCACCACCTTCCAACCCACGCAGAAAACCAAAAAACCCCCTTTCCCACTTCTCACCTTCTCCAACATCGAAACCAATCTCCACCACCCCCACCTCCGCCTCAATTACAACCACCACCACCGCCACCAACCGGCGATCCCGTCCCCCTCGCCCCCTCTCCCGCCGCCGCCGCCTCCTCTAATGAGCCCCAGCTCCGACACCACCTGGACCTCGATCTCCGCTTCCCCTGCTCCGCCGCCGGTTCCTCAGTCTTCCAGCTGGGATTTCTGGGACCCTTTCGTCCCTCCCCCGCCGTCCGCCACTCGGTCGGGGACGACCATGGAGGAGGAATGGGAGGAGATCACCACCATGACTGTCTCTGAGCTGGCCATGGTGGTCTCGAGGAACAGTAAAGATCTGGTGGAGATTGTGAAGGAAGTGGATGAGTATTTCCTCAAAGCAGTTGATGGAGGAACCCAGCTCTCTCTGCTCCTCGAGCTCCCTACTTCTGGCTTCTCCGCTCTAAGCAGCAAAGGGGGTAATGGAATATTGTCAAATTGGATGAAGCCCAACATCAAATAATCCTTTTTTTCCCCTCACATCGGTTGATGTAAAAATCCAATCTTTTCCCCCTTGTTAATTAATATATTTCGCAGGTAAAGTCTATAACTATGGCTGCAATTTGGAGACGAGAAAAAAGGATTCAGCCATTGCTCTACCGTGGAGAGGCTGTATGCTTGGGGGAAGAAGCTATTCGAGGAGGTGAAGGTATACATACATACACACAGAGATCTGGAAACACACGAATCACCCACAGGGGTCCAGTTCTGTTTGGTGCTTGAACAGGTTTGCGGGAGGAGGTGGGAGGAAGGAGGAGGGCGGCGGCGGTGGTTTTGGGGAAAGAAGGAGGTGAGAGGAAGGAGGAAGAAGGGTTGGGTGAGATTGGGTCATGGGTTGGGTTGGGTTGGGTTGGTTTTAATGACGTGGCGGGTTATAATGACATGGCGGGTCGGGTTTTATTTTTGTTGGGTTATATCCGGTTGATTAGGCAATTATGTTTGCCACATCATCACTTAACGGACTTCATTAACGGAGTTGGACGGAGACTAACGGCGAGTGACTAAATGTGTCCAGTTTTAGTAATTGTAGTGACCAAATTTGATATTAATTTTTTCTAGTGACTAAACATGTCCCGATTTTGTAATCTCAGTGACCAAATGTGTCTTTAACCCATGGTTCAGCCATTAATCGTTACAGACACATTAGTTATTTGACGATAAGACAGTTAATACACTTATCACCGGACCGGTCCAATTCATGTGCTGATCAGACCCACAACACAACATCTCAAAATTTTTTGGTACTCATAATTATGGGCCCATTTATATAAGTATTAAAAACCACTAAATACAACATTTATAGTGATTCGGCTACCTCCTTCCTAGGGATGCAATGGGCGGGTTTGGGGCGGGTTTGCCTAAACCATCCCCATCCCCATCTTCAAATACCCAAACCCATACCCGCCCCATACTCATGCGGGGGAATGTTTTGCAAACCCATCCCCATACCCGTGGGTTTCGGTTACCCATGGGTAATACCCATCCCCGTACATCCAACATTATTATACCTAAAACTTACAAGAAAGGTTTTAATTATAACCATAAACAAACCTATTATATCATGAAGTCAATAAAACACGGTCATTTTCTAAATACGATTCAAAGAATATGATCCTAAAACATCCATTAATACATAATATAGACTACAATATTTTTTAAATTATTATGCTCTAACTCTTGATACATTTACTAAGTAATAATTAACTAACATAATCTTGTTGACAATGGGGAAAGTGAAAGAGTGGAAGGAAAATTGAGGGAAATGAATTAGGTTTTGATTAAGGTGGTTACTCAATTGCATTTCTACTATTTATTTTCTCGAGTTATCATCATCATCATTGATAGATTTCAATTTAATCCACATATTTTTTGATAAGTGAAGAAATTCTCTTGGTGGGCCGGGTATAGGTATGGGGCGGGGAAGGCTAAAACCATACCCGCCCCATACCCATCAAACTTTTTGCGAGTTTTACCCATACCCGTCCCATACCTGATCAAAGTGGGGATTCCCCACATTGACTGGGTCGGGGGCGATCGGATACCCGCGGCCATGGGTTTGATTTCCATCCCTACTCCTTCCCTCCTAGTCCTTTCCTATTTTCCCGAACACACATTACTCATCAATAATCAACCCTTTTCCCGTATTTCTCAACTTCCCAAAAAAGATCCAATGTCTCTATCTCTACTAATCAATGTTCATCCCAAATACATATCTCTATTGAACACTAATAAACGTCTCAATTCTCTAATTCCCCTCCATTTAGTATTTGAGTTAAATACTCAGCCAGCCCTACTTAAAGAGTCTGAACGTGATCAAATTTGCTTTAATAAATTTTCCCTTAATTCATTTTTAATAATAATTATTATTTAATAAATTTGCGGGAAAAATATTTTAGGGCCACATTTTTTAATTTACGAATAGGGCGATCGAATATCATGGGTCGGCCCTGCTTATAACATAAAGTGATTGAGTCAGGCTCAAGTGATTTGAACTCGCTCAACAATCAGAATACGCAGCACTCCAATTTTGAGGGATTTCTTAAAAAACACGAAAACAAGTAAAGATAGCGGGGAGACAGTAAAAAATCTAGAACCTGTGGGAAAAGCCAATCGGTATAGTCATCGCTAGCCACAACCAGATGTGATCGTCTGGTTGATAAGAGCCTCATACAATCCTCAGGAATCCTCGACGGAGAGTTGGCACAACCGTTCAATATTTGAACTCAAAAATCTTTCGATTTATTTGATGAATAATACTTGGTTGAAGGTTTCATACAACAGTCCTCACCTCTTTATATAGGAGTAGCAAAGTAACCCTAAAAACGAATGCAAGACGACACTAAAACACTAAATAGCAAGTCCAAAACGTAAATACGAAAACGCAACAGCAATGCCGCGCCCAATCCCCGCTCACGCCCTCCCTATTCCCCAATCGGGGATCGGGGTGCTCACGATCGGTGGTCCTTCTGGACGTGATCCCCGATCGAGTTACCACACCCCCGGTCGGGGATTATCCCAAATCGGTCGGGATTTGATGCCTTCATCCCATCTCGGACTCCGACCATGCCTCGACCCACAGCAGCTCCAGCTCCTTCGTCGATCATCTCTTGGTCAAATATGCCCTCCATTTTACCTTCTCGAGCCTCTAGAGCCTTCAGATTCGAACCACGAAAGTTATATCCTTCAAATTCGAGGGATGTCATGTGAGGTGATTCGGGTCGCATCGTAACAGACATAGAATACAATTTAGAATTGAATCTATCACTAATTATAAGCAATTTCAAATGCATATCATCGGAAAAAATGCATATCATATATCAGTAAAAGTTCTAACAAAACATCCAAAATACCTCACAAAAGAAATCATAAATGCTTATTGAATTCAAGTTAGTAATTAAGGTGTTAATCGATAGTTGTCTAATAAAATTCACATATTGATTCAGGCTCAAATGTACACATTTTACCCCTCATTTCTTATTCGTTTAGCTTAGTATTTCATCATTCCTTGACATATTTCACGCTAGGTTGTGCTTGTTTTTGATACATTTCAGGTCCTAGCACGTGTGAAAGGGTCGAGGACGAGTTTTGGGATATTTGGAGGTCAAAAAGCGCAAAAACCGAAGAAAAGTCCGAAGACCATGACAATTGCCTCGTAGCAGGGAAGTGAAGGCGTCCCAGGAAACAGCCGCATTTCACGGTCGGACAAGGCAGTTCACGGTCTCCTAAGACCGTGAACATGGACCACAAACCGTGAACATCGAGCAGTTCGGCGAGGTTCCAGAAGTTACTAACGACAAGGCAGTTCACGGTCTCTAAGACCGTGAACTGGGGCCATTGACCGTGAACCCACCAGAGTGAAGCGGCGCGTTTAGGGACGACACTGAGTTCACGGACGCGTTTAGGAGTTCACAACCGTGAACTAGCCAACGCGTCCGTGAACTGATCGCTTTCGGGCAAATATGAAGACAGCAGCGGGGAGAGAGAAAGGAGAGCTGGTTTTGGAGAAGAAACACTTTCTTTCTCTAGGGTTTCAACCTAAACACCAAAGGGGAGTTCTAGTGTGTGTGTGTGTGAGAGAGAGAGAGAGAGAGAGAGAGAGAGAGAGTGAGTGCTAGAGTGATCTTGGAGCATCATTGGAGGCTTGGGTGGAAGATTCAAGCCTAGAAGAAGAAGAAGATCTTGAGCTCAAATTTGTAATCCTTCTCTTTCTCTAGAAACTCACTCTTTTCTCTTGGGTGTTGTAGATCCCTAAGTAATATTTTGTAATTACTTGTTTAGATTGAATGATTGTCATTGGGTAGTGTTTAATTCAAGGATTGAGGTATTATTCATGTTGATTGTGCATGCTCGTGCTTAGCAATCTAAAGGTTGTGCATGTTTTGTGCTTAGCATCCATAGGTTTGTGCATTGTGGTGCTTAGCAACCTAAGGATTGTGCATAATTATGCTTAGCACCCTT